TTTCGAAGTCACAAGGAAAAGGAAGCCAATATTGAATTTCATGAAAGGAAGAGGAAGAGGAAAAGGAAAAGGAAAGAGCACTTTCACTTCAACTTCGGTGTGTTGGTCGTGCGCAGCAACAGGACACCTTGCAAGCAACTGTCCCACTTACCGTGCTTCGGCTGTTGATGGTGAAGAGAACTTTACCCGAGCGACGACCAAGGTGATTGGACTTACTTTGGTGAGTCTGACGACTGGCCCGAGTGGACCGAATGGGTGATTAATGCGGTAGCCGAGCTTTTCAATGACAACAGTTGGGATCAGACTTGGGATGATGCACGCTGGCCCTGGGATTCTTGGTGCTGGGATTTGGGAGAACCTTGGCCCACAGAGGTCTTTCGCCGAAGGTCGAAACTTTGACGCAGAAACCCAGGGAAGAGGTTTCGTCTTCCACGGCGACTTTGCTTGTGTCTGCTGTGACCGTGGAAGAACCACCAGGAATTTCAGTTCCAAGTGAGAACCACACAAAAATTTGGTGCTGTTGTGGCGAAGCCCCACAAGGACAAGTACCGCCAGGACCACTCTTCATCATCAAGCAAGGACCACTCTTCATCATCAAGCAAGTAAGAGATAGGTCAGGCCAGGTGCACCGAGCTGCGTGCCAAGATGTACTAGCAAATGCTGAGAGGCTGCACTTCACTAAACTTCGCATGTTGGGTTCCAATGATTTTGCAATGCAGCCGCTCACCAAAAACTGCACTCTCACTCACACTCTCCCAGCCCGTTTCCTTTCGCATGCCCACCCCTGCACTGGAGGTTCATGTGTTGAGCAAGTTCGGGCCACGTGGTGTCCATGCGCCACGCCTTGCACATCAACTTCCCCTCTGGGTTTGTTAAGTTCATTGACACCCATTGCAAGTACCCGTGTGCATGTGCATTTCTAGAGTGGAAATCTTTCCGGAAAACCAGGCCTGGCAGAGGTGTGCAAAACCTCTACCGAAGCGTGAGTCGGTTCCTGCATGCGCAACATGAACATGTTCACTCTGCTGTGCTTGAGCATTGGGTTCTTGTTGGTGAAGAGCGAGAGGAGAGAGAAGAGAGTGACCCTAGAGAAGAGGATCAAGGTGAAGGAGAGGAACAGGGAGGTCAGGAGCCCAAGGCCCCACTGACCCCCCAACTGAACTGCATTCGCGAAATCCACATGTCGACGGAACACGTCGAGTTTGCACGCGGATTTGCTGCAGGAGCTTTCGGTCCTCTTGCGTAGTCACCGCGCCCGCGCGGTGCTGCGCCGTCACTCGGAGACTGGCAGCTGATAGGCTGCAGGGGACTCAGGGCTCCCTGGCACGCGACTCCAACTTGTGGCGAGGTCTGGAAACTGCAAGGTTTAGGGGGGGCACGCAGCTGCTCATGCCCTCTCCCGGCTCTGAGCCGCACCGGCCCTGTTTCGCACGCTTCAGACGAGTCTCTGTCAAACCTGAAGCCAGGCATTTGTCATGTTGCTGCCCTTGTTCCTTGTTGTCTTGCTTGCTTTCCTTGCGGTGGCAAGAAGGGCTCAGGCCAAGCCGAGGGCACGCCGGAGTTCGGAAACGGGAAAGGCGAAAAGGGTGGTGTACGTGTACCCGAAGGCCAAGGAAAGGCCGCCGCTGGAAAAGGCGTAGATGGTGGATCCGGGAAGGGCAAAGGCACGTCCGTGCAAGCTTAGCGGCACGTTGCTAAACTTGAGCTGGTGAAACAAATGTGTTTCCAGGTGTGTGTAGCACAGAAGGCACAAGGGAAACATCGGCAGAAAAATCAAGTTGATGCAGGGCTGTTTTTGCATGTTTTGCCAGGTGCTGGCACGCAGGTAATGACTGCAGCACAGGTGGCACACACGGCACCCCCCCTTTCGAAATTGATGAAATGCTGTGCCAGGGACGCAGACCGAGGTGAGTTCGGCCAACCCAGCACCTTGTTGACACGCAACCCCAACCCTTATGCCAAGACTGGCAAACCGCACAGGACGAACTGGGCTGGAGGGTGCATCAGGAAGTTGTTCCTGTTGGAGCCTCGGTGAAGTAGTTTTTGGCAAGTATTATGTGATCCCCTGTTTGTTCTTACAATTCCGACTGGCGATGACTAAGTGTTATGTGGTCCCGAATAGTCCCGAGCAAGTATTGTGTGGTCCCCTCCAAGTGTTTAAAATCCTGACTAGTGATTACGAAGTATTTTGTGGTCTCCTGTTTATGCTGAGAAACTTGAATACTCCTAGGCAGGTATATTGCGATATGAAAGCCATGATTTAGTGGTCCTCACCAAAGTTGCGAACCGGTGCTTTCGGCGCAACGCAATCCAAAAAACCTTGAAAACAATATATCGACATCAATGCCCTGTCCAGTGTTTCTGCTCCTAACTCAAGCAGACCGTTTGCTGTGAAATCTTCAATACCCATGATTTTTGCCGCTCCATGTCCCCAACCAGCTGTTGCCAACACGAAAACGCAGGGCAAACAAGTAAGCGTGCCCATAACTTGCCAAGCTCAAGGTATAGTTGTAGCAGCGTCAGTGCTAGCGGTTTGAGAAGGCGGAAGTATTGCCCAGCTTCGCGCGGACCTTGTGCAGACTTCGCGCTACCCCGTGCGGTCCTCGCACATAGAAACGTAAATAAATACAAAAACCGAATTGTATCAGGTTGTTCAGAGTTGCGGGTACTGTGATTCAGAAGGTGATCCGCAATAAAAATAACCAATTATGAACGCAAGGACCCTTCTGATGACGTCGTCCAAGCCCGAATTTCCATCAATTCTTATCCAAAGTCAGCCTGCTCAAACCTTCTACATTCCTCTGTGTCGAACACGGCCTAAGGCCTAGGTATTGCAAAATATCCTTGCATTAGGTTGCCGGAAGTTGCAAATACCGCACACCTCTGAGATTTACGTGGCAAACAAATATGAAATTATGATGTTTTGCCAACATGCCGCGCGTTTTTTTGCAAAGCCTGCCTGCAATGCGCAAGTGTACTCGTAGTTCTTGGCCGGACTTTTCGTGAATTAAGCCCGCGTTTGATCATGGGGAGGGCTGACTTCACGCAGCCTGGGCTGACTTAACTCCACAGATAATCATGATGCTAATATGCCACAACCGCCAACAAAGGCATTTGATCCCCAGACAGAGAGTTCAACATGAGTGGACGGGTATGATTTGTTTGCGCAACCGCAAACCTCATGCAGTTCTGCACCAGTAGCGCCTGGGAAGTTTCAGCCTTCGGTCAAACCAACATACGCGCGACCGGGACACCCACACCCTTCCACGATGACCAGGGCATCAGCTGTCATACGGACAGTCCGCGTGCGATCACCCAGAATGGTTAATCAGATTGGTCATACGGTTCCTCGCAGTCATATACCCTTTTGGTTGATAGGGTTATAACAAGGAACATGCATTGCTCTCAGCGCAGCAGGCGCAGCCTTTCTTTGGAAACTTGTACACAGAGACACACACACACACACGTACGTCAAGAACGCGTTGCGGTGTGGGAAGCAAGTACGTTGCATTCTCCTGATTTTAAAGGCGGAGTCGGTTTTCCACTTCGACATCATGTGCTCAATTTCTCTGCTCTGATGTAGCACGGGCAGACAAGGCAAGGACAGTAACCTGCAGAAGCGCAATTCGCTCAGAGCCGCAATTGTGGGCTCGAAGGCAAGGCGCAAGCTCAATTAGCATAGTGAAGATCAGAAATTGTCACGGTGGAGCTGTCCGTTGACGATACCTTAACGCTTAGCAACTTGGTTTGGGGAACACTTTCAGCGTTGATGGGATGTCAAATGGAGTTGAAGACTTCAACTTTGGTGGTTTCGGTGAGTCTTCTGAGTTTGCACCTCCGGCCTGGGTGGCCCCTCGTGAGACTTTCTCCTGAAATGGTCGCACGGAGGAGAACCAACGGCTTTTCAGTGTTGGTGATCTCGGACTTAAGAAGTTGAATACGACTTTCAAAAATGTTGCTTCAGAAGAGCAACTGGTGGTATCTACTTTGACAGATTCGGATGATCCTTGGATACTTTCTGATTCAGGAGCTGCCACACATTGTTGTCCGTATCACTTTGCTTCGGAGTGGCCGGACTTTGCTACTCACAGGTAAGGCTCCACCTTTGAGTAGCATTTCAGGACAGCCTTTGACAGTCTTCGGAAGGAGACTTGTGAAGGTTGACTTTGAGGGCCAGCCTTGCTTGCTGCACATTTACGGCTGCGACGTTCCCTGCTGTGTGTGGTTTCGGTCGGTAGACTTTTGAGATCAGGATTTGATGTGAACATATGTTCGAGGAATCCGAACCACTTTCTTCGACGCCTGATGGACATAAGGTTCCCATCATTAGGCAGGGTTCACCTTTGTCTCTGAGGCCCACTTTGGCACCTTTCAACAGGGTAGAGTTTGAAGCAGTGCGCAACGCTTTTCACAACACGAAGGCACAAGGGACCTTAGAGGCCCCAACTTTTCGCACCCCTTTCTACTTCATACTGATAAACGGGAGCTCTCGGGAAACACTTTGACACGAACCCACATTCGCAAGAGAGCTACGTTCCTTTCTCCCGAAGGGACGAAGGATCGCCCTGTAGACTTAAAGGACCTTGCAGATGAACGCGTAACTTTCCCGGAGTACGCTGCTGGCAGAAAATTCGAAAAGAAACCTTAACAGACAACTGGCATAAGGCAGAGAACCCCAAGGGACCTTCTCCTGAACGCTTTGTTGGGAAGACTGTGTTCGAAATCACTTCCAAGCCCACCGGTCGTAAGCTGGTTGGGAAACAGACAATGAATGCCGATGAAATGTGTTATGATCTATGTGAGCTTTCCCAGCGCAACTTTGGTGCCACGGCTTGTGCAGACTTTGTGAGGTGGACCTTTTGTGCTGCAGGATTTGGGGGTCCGACCAGACCCTCAACTTTAGCTTTTCGCCACGGTCAGCATATCTTATGTTGACTTTCGGTCCTAGCATCCGCCAGCAACAAGGCCAACCGGACATTACTTTCGGTGCAATGGTCACAACTTTGAGGATGCGACTTTCGCGGCGCAGATGGAGCGCACTTTTGCAAGGTGGCCAAGTTTGGAATTGGCGCTATTTACAGTCGATGATCACTTTGGTTCATCCCCTTGGCAGTTGAGCCTTACTTTGAGAAGTCGACGTGTTGAGCACTTTGTTCCAGCACCCCAATGCGGGCTTTTTCCGTTTGTTCAATCTTCTTATCCTGCTCATGCAAGGGACTTTGTCCTACAGGCGCCAGACTGGGATTGCATTCCCAGGGAACTGTTGCAACACTTTGCAAGGCCTCGCCTGTGACGCTGTGTGACACTTTTCGCCATCTTTGGTTGGTCACAATGCGTATACTTTTGGATCGCCGCCGGAACGTGCCGAACACTTTCCACGCTGTACCATGGTACACGACAACACGACTTTTCTGACAACGAACCACTTTTCGTTTCTCCACAGGCAACTTGTGAATGCTGAAGACATGAGACATTTGTTGCGGACTTTTGCGCTGGCAGCAAAGCGCCGCTTTGCGCCCGAACTTCCTCGAAGCACACTTCGAGGATCTTCTACTTTCTCCGAACTTTTTCCTGTGTTTTTTGTGCCCGAACCCCCTCGAAACACACTTCTACATGCTTCTACTTTCTGCTGTGTGATTTGTTTTGTGAGAATAAACTTTATCTTTATCTCAAGGAGGCATGTGAAAATAGCACGTTATCTCCATGCCCCGACTTTGCCGCATCCGTGGCTCAAATTCACGATGCACCTTGTGCAGTCCCTGGAAAGAGGCGCTCCGTGACTTTCAGGGTTACTGTGATCTGAAGCTGAGCAGTGCACGCAATCCTTTCGGCTATTGCTAGTGGGCTATCTGAGCACTTTGTACCTTCGCATATGTGCATGTTCATGTGTATGTGTAAAACGCCTACATTCATACGTGTACATACAGACATATACAGACAGGCAGACAGGCATAGACACGCAAAACACAGACAGAGACAGACAGACAGGCAGCCAGCCAGCCAGCCAGGCAGGCACGCAGGCAGGCAGGCAGGCAGGCAGGCATGCATACACACACACACATACACGCATATATATATATGTACATACATATATATATATGTATAGATATACAGATATACATATATATATATATGTGTGTGTGTGTGTCCGTGTGTGTGTCTGTGTGTGTGTGTTTATGCATGTATGTATGTATGTATGTATGTATGTATGTGTATATGTGTATCGGTATATACCTATACGATGCAAATGTATTTGTATATGTTTATGTTCACACATACATATACACATGCGCATCTGTACACATTCACACCCACATCCGCATGCTCATGTGCATGCACATTCAGTTGCACGCTTGAGGCATTTAGACACTTATATCGACACAGACATGAACATAGCGATAACATAGCCTTGACATAGCCATAGGCATGCATACATACACACATACACAAGTACATTTCGCACGCATACATACGTACATAAACATATACATATACGTGCATGCAAATGTGCTCACATACCCAATTACATGTGATTGGTGAACTCTGAGGCCAAGCTCGGGACCCTGGTGGCCAGGCCTTCTCGCATCAGTAGAAGGGACCAGTCAGATCCTTTAAACGGAGAAGCCCACATGCCCGTCGCACGGCTGAGCTCGAACTTTAGGGGTGAAAGCATTGGGCTCACGTTTTCGGAGTATTCGGCACTTGATGGTTTTTTCCGTGGTTCGCTGTGGATCACGTCTCACCCATGGCCCTCAAAGATTAGATCAATCACGCGCACATGCATACATACACATACATATATGTATATATACACATGTATGTGTGTGTGTATATATATATATATATACGTCTGTCTATCTATCTATCTATCTCTCTATGTATTTATCAATCTACCTATCTACCTATCTATCTATCTGTCTATCTATCTAGCTGTCTATTTGTCTATCTACATATACATATATATATATGTATATGTACATATTTGCTTATCACTCTTTCTACATGGACGTGTGTATTGAGTAGCAAGTCGCGTCATGGTATAAATCAACACATGGCAGTGACTGAGACGCCGGTGCCTGGTGTCCATTCAAGCCACAGCTGAATTTCAATCCGCCTGATGCTGCATGCAACCAGCACTGTAGCCATTGTTCGATGTACTGCTGCTCCACAAGTACACGCGGATACACGCGGTACCTTCGGCAGGTGGTGTACCGCCACAACCACAGCCGAATACTCGTCAAGTGTCGACATCGTTGACTTAAGACAACTACCCTGAGAGACAACTGAGGCCGAAGCCGTCGGTGCCAAAGACGCAACCGACCTTGGCGCGATGCCCAAAACAAGCGACCGAGCGGTTGTGATCCTGCTCTCCCTGCTCCGGAGGCAGCCAATCTCCAAGCAGCGGGCCCAGATGCGGTCGTTTCAAGACCGGTCGTCCGCGCGCATTGCCTTTGTTTTCGAAAACATCGTGTAGGTGTACAAACATCCCGTTGAAAGAGCGCGTTGGAAAGTGGCGGACCCCGACCTTCGGACTGCGCCGAGGCGCGAGACAGTGACAGCGACGATGAGCTCATTGGCGCGGATCCAGACGAGGCCCAAGGGCCCAGCCCAGCAGTGCCCGCTTGCAGTCTGAAGCGCCGGAGGTCGCCCTGGCTCGCGGGGACTTGGAGGAATCCGTCGACTGGTTCGACTGCGAGCGCCTCTGGTGACGGCTGGGATCCTGGGATTGTGGCGTGCAAACCTGGGTCTCAGGGCATCGACGCTGTTCTGCTTCTTTGTGCCCAGGGCTGTTTCCGTTAAGAAGCTGCTTCCTGGAGATGCGCTCCTGAATTGCGTGCCCGACAGTAAGCTCTGGGTGTTTGCGCGGAAAAATCACCGAACGAATGCGCTAGATCTCAGCATATGGGCCGTTTAGCTGGAAGTAGAATGATGTCCCAGCACGAGTCAATGCCAACTCGCTGCCAAGATGCTCGGGCCAGCAGCCACATGACAAGGGACGAGAGTTCAGCCCATCTCGTACCCTACCCTCAGCTCTGAAAGAGCCAGCTAGCAGGTAGCAGCATGTTAGAGCACCGGAGCACTTTCGCTGCAAGCTATCTGGCAGCTCTTCGAATGTACGGCTCGCGAGCCCTACGGGTCCTGCGGTGTGGTGGCCATGGACGCGCAGCATCCCGAGGCTGGGGAGAAAACGCAGCCGAAGCTCAGGATCTGGGAGTGTTTGGGCGCCTACAGTGTAGGTTTAGGGTTTAGGGTTTATAGGGTTTAGGGTTTGTGAGTATGGTGTTCATGATAAGCGTGCGAGTGTTAAGGGCTTGACGATTGGCGAAGAGACTCGAGAAAGGTGGATCCACCGCCACCGCCTCCCGTTGAGCGGAGGGCACAAAAAGCGCGAGGGTCGAAAGGGGACGAGAAGAGGGAGGCGGGGGGGGGGGGGGGGGGGCAACTTGACATGTTGTGTCGGGACCGGACGGAGAGCTCTGGCTTGCGAAGAGCGTGCCCAGGAGAAGGTTCGGATCGTGTATCCTCGGGAATGCCCTCACTGTTCCAAATCGTTTCCCTCGAGTACAAGGTCTGCACCTGAAACTGCCTCTAGAGCCTAATAAGTAGTATGTCTTCAAGATGAAGAAAGCGAGGTATCACAAGCATGTGAGCTTTCACACTGCTGCCAAGCCACGGCCTCGGCCGGCAGCTTGCGGCTGGGGAGATGTTTTGGGTCTGGGGCTCTTTCGCCCAGTCAGGAGCTTCAAGTGTGATCATCCCGGCTGCAACAAAGCCTACAAGAGGCAGCTGCAGATTCCTGTGCGTGGTGAAGTTACCTGGTAGAGTTTAGAGTTTAGAGCACCGTTCGGAAATGTCTGGAGTGACTCCGCCCGGAGGAAAGTAGACCTGGAAGACCACAAGGCTGTTCACCTCGAAGTGAAGCCAGGGACTACCAGCGAAGCACCTGCAAGAACAGAGGAAGGGAACCTACATCATGGACCTGAGGCCCTTTCGATGTACGGTGGAGTCCTGTGACAGGCAGGAGTCCGATGTGACAGGCATCGCCTGGGGCAGCTAGTCCGACGCAGGAGCTTTACCACGAAGCAGTCGCTGATGTCGCACATTGGGCGTGATGGCCTCGAAGAACTCTGCAGCTTCTCTCCATGCCCGGTGGAGCTGCTCCCTGTCAGCCGGCGGTCTGAGGTGTGCACAACGGCCTGAGCTGCACGGCCTGCGGGCTTCGCTTCCGCAAGAAGGACGCTGGGAGCGGAGCTTAAAAATCTCTCAAAGCTGCTCCGCAAATGGGCCAGGCGAAGCTGCAGCAGCATTGGGCCATTGTGCACGGGGCCCGTGGGGCCCATGAGGCCCTTGCCTAAGAGCATCTTCCCGAGGCCTGCACCATTTTTTGCGCCTGCACAGGCCGACGGCTCCAAAGTGGAGCCGGTCGGGACCCAAAATCTCGCTGAGCCAAGAGAGGGCCCATGCATGTTCCTCTCAGGGAAAGTGCCCGGATTGTGGTAAGACCTTCCAGCACCGCGAGTCCTTGGAGAAGTGCGCCGGCGGATTCTCAAGTCAGCCGTGTGAGGGCTGTGCTCTGTTTGTCTCTGCTCCGTGACCGCCCTTGGCTTTTTGGCTCAGACGCTGGGTGCGTGCGCTGTGAGGGGTCCCCTGAAGGGGCGGTCCCTTTCACGATGCACAGCAGCCGGTCGGAGCCGGGTCTCAGCCCATGGCATCACGAGATGAAGGACCACGTGAAGGGCCGGGTCAAGGAGCCAGACGCAGAGGGCGAATCCACAAGGCTAGGCTGCTAGGAAGCAAACGAAGCGCGTTTGCCAGGAGCTGGTCCTGGGCCGTACTGGGGCCTCTTGGGAAGACAGGTTGCAAGAGCAGAAAGCCAAAAAGGTCCAGGCCATGAAGATCATTGAGTGCCCCGGCCGCAACAGCGTCGGCTTTCAGGGGCACGAGTAGGCGACTCCAGATGCCCCGAAGTCGAAACGGATGCGTTCCCATTGCGTCTTCCCGATGCCCTTCATACCCCGCACGCCCCATCATATCGAAGATGTCGAGTGTTCAGACTAAACACATGCAGCGATTTCGTTGGAGCACAGCTGCTATGGACTACGCCGCTCGATTTTCAATGACTTTCAAGTTGTGTCTTTTTCTTTGCTTGGTTTTGGGCATCTCCTCCCATTCGACCACTTGACTTCCTAGGAGCTGAGCTGTTCATGGTCTTTTTAAGGACAACGGCACCCAACGATCATCGGTTGAAGGAGTTGAGCTGATTGTCATGACGACTGCAGATCTGCCAAGCTTACACAAAGTCGGTGCGGAAACACCGGCCCGATAAACATGCTACCCAAACGGAAGAGGCGGTTGTTCCATCCAGTTGGACACATTGCCGAAACGGGTCGAGTGGTGGGCTTTCTGTCTTTACATCCAGACGAGTGTAAGAGATGTGGCTTGCGAAGCAGTTTTTTCCGAGGAAGGAGCAGCGGGAAACGATCAAAGCGGCCACCGAGCCTTAGATTTTCAGCTCAGCGGTTGGGAGCTTGTGTCAGACAAAAGGCTGCAGTAGACTGCAATCTGAGGACAAGGGCATCGAGAAGCAACAGGCAACCTTAGGAGACTCGGAGTCTATGGCAGTATGTATCAAGAGCTCTAAGCAGCCAGGTCTATTCCCCGCTGCTGGCCCTCCGCTCGGCGCCTTTGCTCTCGACCTCTGAGAAGCAGGAGCCGAGGGAGCAGGGGCTCTTTGTGCACAGAGGGTGGTGCCTTTGTTCCGAGGCGCAGCGCTTGGAGGAGAGAAGGAGGGACATGGAGAACAAGACGAGACTCTTGGACTTGTCTGGGGTGCTGTGGTCCCAAAAGGATGCACAGCAGACGAGCGTTTTTCTGTGCGGCTCTATGCCTAAAGCCGAAGTCAGTTTCTTTATAAGCTTTAAGCATGTACGGGCACGTCCCCACCAGCCAGGAAGCTACCACATCCAACGGAGCAAGATTCTGGTCCTGCGCTCATCTTTTTCTGTCACGTTGTCACGTTTGGTCCCGGTATTTTTTGTTTTTCCTAAGGCTGGCTCTGGTCCATGGGGTCCTTGGTAGGGTTGGCCCAGGCCCCCCGGTGCCCTGGTTCTCTGGTCCCTGGTCCCCTGGTCTCTGGTCCCCTGGTCTTGCGGATCCCCAGCCCTTTCCGATCTCTTTTGTAGCCTTGCCGCGGGTCGCCCGGGTCGCGGGCCACAGGCTGCGGCCCGTGCAAAGTTGGCGGCGGGTTAGTAAATGAGATAATGAACTGGAATCGCCAAATTGAGGGGGCGTCTTGTAAGATGTGTGATGAACCTGGGACGACAAATGAGGGGGCGTGTTTAGGATATATGATGAACCGGAATCGTCCAATAGGGGGAGGGGGGCGTGTTTAAGATACATGATGAGCCGGAATCGCCACATGAGGGGGCGTGTTTTAAATCAGATATATTATGACTATGATGAGCCGGAATCGCCAAATAAGGGAGCGTGCTTAAGAAGTATGACGAACCGGAAGCGGGGGCGTGTTTAAGATATAATATGATGAATTGAAATCGACAAATGATTTGACCTCTTAAACATATACTCAATCTCTTTAGAGTGTCTGTTAAAGTACTGTGTTTGTGTGTGTGTGTGTATATATGTGTGCGTGTCTGCACGCGGAGTGCAAAGTCTTGTCGGCCCGCTCGTTTCTAAATTTTCGGACGAACCATGCTGGCTCACACATGACAAGACTCCCCTCGGCATGCATCAAGACACTATCGACAATGCTTCACACATATTACGCTCCCTGTCTGTGTTTTGCACTGCTTTGTCAGCCCTCCGCCCAGCTTGTTTAAGCCGCGTATATTCGTTTCAAAATCACATCCTGCCAGCAAAAATAGCATGCATATGGATCCCTGCAGTATCCCTGATACAATCTGATACCAACATTATGGTTGCAAATGGGGTGGGGGCTGCCCCCAACCCCCGGCTCTTTTTGTAGCCGTGCTGCGGAGCACTTTAGCAAAAAGTGCAGAATCGGAATTGGCAAATGGTCACGTTGTTGCACCCCAGCGTTTCTGGTGGCTGTGTTTGTCATGTGAATATGGAACAACACGAGGGTTTGGACCCGGATTTCGACTTTAAGGCCCGCAGTGCTATTCACTTATTTGCCGCCTGCCGCTTCGAAATTGCCGAAGCGCGGCTCGGGCAGGTTTCTCACAAGTGGCGCCTGGAGGCGGCTGTCGCGAGCAAGTAGTCCGAATTGCGAACCGCCACGTAGTTACAATGTAGTTCGTGAAACGTAGGTTAGGTTGCATTCGTAGCTAACATGTACGACGAAACAATTGAGGGTGCGCAAGTCTCCTGTTGTATGCGACTTCCGTTTCAAGGCTGTGGACGATTTCGTCCGCTTGGACCACCGACGCTACGGTCGGTTTACTCGTGAGCCCGGTTCATCAGGTTCAGGATTGCCAAAGAGTTGCCCGTCAACAACTCATACCGCATCTATGCAGGTGGCAGCGCCCCGCCGGTGCTTCCGGAGGTCGGTCCGTTCCACAGTTTGCAACTTTTACGCGGAGGGGACCTTGTGCAAACGGAACAGTTCAGCTGTCCGAGGCCGAAAGGGAACCCTGCTGTCGACTGGCGCACGCGCACAAGGCAGGCACGGACATGGCGATAGCCAGTTAACATCCGTTTGGGAAGCGCAGGAAAGCCAATCAACCTTGATTTATTTGTGCTTGCTTGCTCGCTTCACGACGGTGTCGTGCCGTGCATGCTCTTGAAAGCGGTAGTTGCGTCAGCGTTGCGGGCTCTGCCTTATGCTTTCTTATTTAGTGTGGCATCATGGCCGGTATGCCCCTGAGACTAACTCCTTTCTCGAATTTTTGCAAGGACTCAGCTTCAACAAACGCGCCCGGTGCCGGCGACGGTCTCGGAGACAGCCTTTTCCAGATTTCTGGATGTATAGCACTGGTGCTCAGGAATGGTTTGGGGCGCTACATGCACTTGCCTTGGTAGTTGTAATTTTGGGACGCGCTTGCATTGGCGAATGTTGCAACATTGCAGGTTTATAGACCCGGCATGAGTTCTGTCGTGGACGCACCTTGCAAGATGCCATGCGCTGAATGTGTGTGTGTGTGTGTCTGTGTGGGTGGTTGCGTGTCTTCTCGGTCACGCAGCACCCAGATGCCGGTTGATTACGCCCTTTTCTTGTGTTGGCCCAGTCAGGTGCGTTTTATGCGACGCATGGCGCGGCAAGGCTGCTTCTGTCGCGATTGGTTTAGACGAAACTGATTCTCTGCCGAAGTCTTGTATTGCAGGTTTGGCGAGACCCTTGCCACAGGCTCGTTCATGTAGATGATTCTGGGGCGTGCTATTCTCTTTGGATATGATGTCGATGTGCCGGAGATGCCGCTTCCACACCCCGGGCACGGAGAGCGCCCAGCTGTCCAAGGCTGAGCGATGATACAAAAGCAGCATACAAACATTTCACTGAGTTGAGCTGCTTGACTGGCTAAGGTGGTCCGAGGTCGCCTGAATATGCAGGCTCTCTTGTCTTTGGCAGTGTGGATGCTTTTTGATGCTTGTATTGCACGTGCCTGACGCAGTCCACTTCGACCACCTGCTCGTTCACCCTCAGTCGCCGAGCGCAGGCCTTAGTCACTCTCGCTGAGATGGTGTATCTTGTTGCTTTTGGTGGCAGTTAGCTTGTGGGCCGCTTGGTCTGTTCCAGGACCGAAATCGGCCCCAACATGCATTGAACGGCAACACGGCTTGAGACTGAGAGTCTGACTCAGAGTCGAAATTATCGATGCGTGCGTGTGTACATGTTCTGTTTGTGCTTGCTTGCGTGGTGGACTCGCGGATCTTGCCGCAGGCAGTGGAAGAGGTGCCTTTGGCAGTGTTCTGTTCGGTCGTACCTGTCTGGCAGCTCACGCTGAGGCGGTGGCGATGGCCGGTGTTGTGAGAGATTCCGAGGCCTTTGACTTTGGGGGGTGTCAGAGACATAGATATGTGAGAGCTTGTGCTTGGGACGACGTGCAGGTGTCGCTTGAGATTGACTCCAGCAGGTGTGGGAGAAGTCTGCCGGTGGCGAATCATGTCTGTTGAAGCAAGCCTTACAGGCCCGCGCAGTTTGCCGCGTGCCCGAAGGCAGGACTACCGGGACTACCGGAGTGCAAACACACGCGGCTCCGCGCACACATGCGGTGGCTCGAGGCTCGGGGAGCTCGGCCTGATTCGTTTCCGTCTTATGTTGGTGAATTTTCTTTTCATGTGACTTTGAGTGTAGGTCGAGCCGAGTTCATTCGCCGAACGAGTCTTTCAAGATATAAGATACATGATGAGGGGCGTGACTAAGATATGTGATGAACCTGAACCGCCAAATGAGGGGGCATGTTTAAGATGTGCGATGAACCTGGATCGCCAAACCGGTCTCGCCCAATGGGGGGAGAGGGGCGTGTTTGAGATATGTGATGAGGGGCGGGTTTAAGATATATTATGATGAACCGACAGCGCCACAGGAGGGGGCGTGTTTGCTTGAGCCGGAATCGCACAATGGGGGGAGGGGGGCGTGTTTGAGATATGTGATGAACCGGAGTTGTCACATGAGGGGCGTGTTTAAGATATACTATGGTGAGCCGGAAGCGCCACAGGAGGGGGGCGTCATCGCCACATGAGGGGGCGTGTTTCAGATGTATGATGAAGCGGAATCGAGAAATGATTTGGCGTGTTTCAGCAATATGACGAACCGGAATCGCCTCTGCAAGACTTCCCCAATAGCGTGACACAAGACAGGAACCTCGAAATTGTAATCCCCCAATAGCTTGGGGCAAACCGCAACCTTGCAAGTTCTAATTCCCCAGTAGCTTGATGCAAAGCAAGACCCTGCAAATTGTAACTTCAATAGCTTGACATAAGATAGGCGCCTCGAAATTGTAATCCCCCAGATGCTTGGGGCAAAACAAAACGTTGAAAATTACCTTGCGAATGCTGCACATTGTAATTCCCCAATATCTTGACGCAAGACAGCAGACTCGAAATTTGCAATCCACAATCGCTTGGGGCATAACAGGGCCCCGCAACTTGTAATTCCCCCATAGCGTGATGCAAAACAGGAGCAAATGCTGCAGTTTGCAGTATTTGCACCCAAAAAGAGAGCCAACGTTAGCAAAGGACACGGGGGACCGCCAGCGTTAGGAAAAAAACTTCCGCCGTCACTTTGCATTTACTTGCTGGAAGGGTGGCATGGCAGTCATCTGCATGGATAGGGAACTCGCACGAAGTATATAAGGATGAACGATAGTGATGATCACTGCTTCTGTATTGATGTCCTTGTCAAGAGGCATGTCCGAAATCAAGATGTCGCAAGACAGACCCCAAGCCTTTCCGCTTGGAATGTGTGGGCTGTCAGGAGAAGATGCGCACCAGGGACCCACTTTTCAAGGTGGAGGATGTCTCCGCAGCCAAGGCACACCCGGGGCCTAATTGGGAAGACATGAGGAGTTCTCGGGCTCTTCCGTGGCGTTGGTCCTTTGTTCCTGCTTGCACTATAGTTATACTTCTTCGCAACCTCACCACCAAGTTCGGCAGATTCTCGCTCTGAGGTTGCACTGGCCGACGCCAGGCGGAAGAAGCAGGCCGAGCTGCAAGCGGAAGAGAAGAAGCCGCTCTGCTGCACAGAAATCTTGGACAGCGGTACGAAACTGTTCCGTGCTGGTTGGAGGTCGTCGTCCGAGGGTCCTGAGTAGTGGCAGTGCGGCATACAGTGTCAGTCGGGGAGCATGTGTTCGCTGCTTTGTCCGAGGCGATGGGAGCACCTGGAAGAGTGTGCTGCCAAAGGATGCCACAAAAGGCTGGCTCACAGTCACATGGATTCAGATGTCTGTTATCAGTGTCGCCTGTCGCGGGCCTGCTGTGAGCGTGACGAACGGAGTGTTCTCATCGTCAGGCAGACTCTGCAGCTTGGCGAAGCCAAACTATGCTATGGTTCTTGCTTGGTGATCTCTGGAATCTGGAATCAAGCGGGAACGGCTTAGTCCACGCATAATTCATGATCGTCCCTACGGTAGTTGGGGTGATGAGAGTTGCTACTCGTAGCCTGATTCTCTCTAAGGTACGACTTGCACAACAGCCCCTCCTTCGACGAGCGTCTTGCGAAAGCGGTCGAGCAAAAGACGAAGGAGGGCCAGGGTTCGGAGCGAGCCTCTTGCAGCTTTGAAGCCGCGCCTGCACCGGACGTGCCAGGAACTCAAAGACTTGGAAAAGGCGCAGAAAGACCGAATCAGGTGGATGATGTGGATGCCGTGAACCGACGCCCGATCTCACCTCGTAGTGGTTCTCGTGCATGATCGTACGCCACTGTAACCGTTCTCAAGACTTCTTCGACTTGTACCACATGCCATCTTGTGCCCGCCAGCTTGGACAGGGAGGCTGTGGAGGCTGGCCACAACAAGTCTGCTGCGGTGTCCCCGCTGTCGGCCTGTCTGCGGAATCCGCCGGACAACATGGAGACCCCTGGCAGCAAGAACCGTGAGGGCTGTTCAAGTGCTTGTATGGAAAAGTCCATGAGACCGAACGCTTTCAGCATCTCCTTCCGGCATGCGTATGGCGCATGGCTGAGGAGGCAGCGTGAGATTCTTGAAGAGCGCAACCGTACAATGGCCACTGCAGCCAGGCCAGTCGGCGAGTACCAGAAAGCTCAATGCGTCACGAGTACTCTGTGCATTGCGGCTATGGTTGCACACGCCTTGCCTCTTCACTACACTCCTCCACCAACGCTGCATTTCTCATTTTTGCTGTTGCGAAAGCGATGCTGCCTTGTGCGCAGGGAGTACCTCCGCAAGCGAGACGAGTCACTCGGCCAGGGGTGTGTGGACGGAGCTTGAAAATTAAGCCGACTCTGGCGGAGTCTATAGCACACACATTCTCTGCAGAAATTCTCTAGCACACATCAGCAGCAGCCCTGCAGAGAGGAGAGGGGAGGCTCTCAGGGGCTTGTAGAGCTGCTGCTTCGGGGACCTGCTTCTTAGGATGGTGGAGCGGCAGCGGAAGCGGGAGCCGCTCTTCTCCGGTGCCGCCGTGGCCGATGCCACGACGCAGCTGGAGGACCCGGTGACACGACATCTCTCCCCTCCTTCCCTCCTTTTAGGGTTCAGGGTTTAGGGTTCAGGTTGCATCGTCACTTTTTGCTTCGGGGCTCTCAGAAAGAGAGCTCATAGTGGGCTCTTCCTAGGGGGCTTCTTCCGCGGGGCTTTCCGCAGGAGAAGGCCAGGAAGCTGAAGCAGGAGATGGCCGCCGAGCAGCTGAAGAACAGGCCCCGCCCCCTCTTCGCCTCCCCCCATTTCAACAGAACGGAGAGGCCTTCCTTTCTCCTCTCCCCTTTCGCCAATTCTAAGCGCGCCGAACCGACTCTGCGAGGCAGCACATCCTCGAGCTGCAGAACAAGGTCCTGGCCAGACCGATGCATCTCCGATGCAGCGAGCTGCATCGAGCTGTAAGATGAGATATAGATATAGATATAGATATATATATATATAATCACTCTTTAGTCAAGCGCACGCCTTGCTCCTAGCGATGACTCCCAGGATGATGGAGATCAAGTACGGCATTGCTGCCTGACATCGGCATCTGACTCTCTTGTGCCTGCAATTGGGTCCTTCCTGCACGTGAGCAGCATTTGACGCTGAGAATGGCTGCGGATAGTGCTCATAGTGCTCCAAAGCCACCGGCCGGCAGACGCCCTGAAGGGGCACCAAGCAAACAAAGATCAGCGTGGTGGTGAAAAGAGACAGCGACGCAGCGACGCAGCGCAGCGCGCTGGCACCTCCGATTACATTGCACTTGGCGTCAGGCACATCTTGGCCCAGCATCCTCGAGAAGGCCTCGCGCCCAAACGCAAGTTCTACAAGTGCACGGGCTGCGAGGACGTCCGAACTTGACCAGTTTCTCAGAGTGAGCTTGTTCGGTTGAGCAGCTTGCATTCGGAGATGTAGGAACAAAGACGAAGGACACAGAGGGTCGCGCGGCGACTCCAAACCATGAAACAAAAAGATTATTGATTACAGATTCGAAGCTGCTTCCGAAGTTTGGGCGAAGTGAGTCAAGCATAAGAGTCCCCTGTATGGGGGCTGTAGGGAAGCGAAGCTTAACCGGATTCATGTCGGTACTGGCTCAGTAACGGAGCGCGCTTCTGTGAAGAGGAGACTTTCGGCAGCTTTCTGGACATGGCGCGGGCCCTCGGAGGATTCGCTGAGCCGCTTTGAGAGTTTTCTTAGATGGGATTCTCTCGCGTTTTTTTGACGGATGGACTCAGATACTAATTTAGAAGGCCTACGGGGAAGGATGGTGAAACAGCTGGTTGCTTGAAAATGTGCTGTTTGCGTTTTGATTCTTGGCGGCTGAGGTATGGCTCGGCCATGCTCTGCCTTGGAATTTCATTAAGACCTCCAGAAAAAAATCAATCTGATAGCATTCCATCGTCTGCTCAGCATGAGCGGGCAGGACAATTGTCAGCGTCGTTCGGGACTAGAGTTTTTGAGATTTTTAGAGGCTGTCTCCTGGCGCTTTGCTTCAGTGTCGAATGAGTTGAACTGAGGGCATAGGCATCAAAAAAAATTGATAAGGATCAAACAAAAGTTACCTAAGGATTTAAAAAAAAAGACAAAGGATCAACAAAAAAATTTGCCCTCTGCGCCCAAGACCTCGCC